AAAAACTAAAGGAAAATTGTATAAAAACGATCAATCTGGCTATCGGTGAGCTTTGGCCAAAACTCGTTCCTTTGAAATGAGGGAGAAATGGGATGCCTAGGGTATATGAGGGTACTACGGGCACTAGGATATTACGTGTACCTTTTTTAGTTTTTTCTTTGTATTTTTTTACCTTATTTCGTTAAAAATCAACTAGACAACATTTTTCATAAATATTTTAAACAAACAATATGTATCAATAAATTTTCTACGATTCTCCAATGAGAACATCTCAGTGGTCTAACATTAAACTAGATACTAAATTAATTATATTAAGTTCAAATATACAGTGTTTAATAAAGTACACATAATCTTTTATCTGATTATATTTTAACTAAGATAGAAATATACTATACAATTATACTATACATATTAGACTTAATTTTAAGATTATTGGTCAAGTGTTTCAATGCGACGTATGTCTTGGAATTACGACGAATTGCAAAGTAAGGAAAAATATTAATTTTAAAAGTCAGCGGTATATTCGAACGGTTCTTAGCTGATTCGAGGTCACGTCCGATGAATAATGCTCGGGACATTAGCGGTCATTATATGCAAATAATATTATATATATATATTTTCTGAATACAAGTTCATTGTATGGTGTAAATAAATTGAATAATAATTGCATGTACCTGTGTAAAATCAAAGAAATTGGTGCGCCAACTGCCTTAGTTAAACTATATTAAATATAATCACTAACGTCTTAGTAAGGGCTATACAGAATTTATTACTTCAATATCTTGTATAGGTACAAGGCCCAAGAGTCAAGACATAGTGTGCGGCTTACTGAACTTTCTCATTTTACTATACATCTTTTGTATTACTGAAGAAGCTATTTTATAATAAGTAAGATAAAACATATATAGCGGTCATTATATGCAAATAATATCATATATATATTCTCGGTATAAAAGTTCATTGAAATAAATTAAAAAATAATTGCATTCACTATTGTGACCTCTGTAAAATGTTCAAAGATATTAAGCCTAGGTAAACTACGTTAAATACACTATCGTCTCTTATTAAGGGTTATATAGAATTGATTACTTCAAATATAGGTACCAGAACATCATAAGTAGGTATGTCAAATGGAAGAGACTGGCTGCCCAAGACACAGGGAATCCTAGTGTGGGGGCACTTTCTCACTTTACTGTATTTTTTTAGTATTAGATGCGCTAGTGATAAAGAAGCTATGTTATAATACTTAACAATATTATTAGTGTAAGATAAAATATATATAATAATCTCTATCCATTCGCAATTCATATTTCTGACACCATCTGTCATAAAAAAAATCAGTGGCGCTACAACCTCTTTAGGTCTTGGCGACAGATTTCTGAATCTGTTTCATGATCATTTTGGAATCTAATCGGCAAGTAGGTGATCATTGGTGCACAGCCGGGGATCGAACCTACGACCTCACGGATGAGAGTCGCACGCTGAAGCCACTAGGCCGACACTGCTCTGTCACCATCTGTCATACTTCGTCGATTTTTGCGGTGTAAAAGAAACCAAGTTGTCGATGTCCTCACGATTACATTAAGAGCAATTGTTAATTACGCATTTAAAAACATAGTTATAGATTCAGTCAAGGATTGAACGCTATTGCTTTAAAAAGTAAACAAACATTGTTCGTCACGTTTATTAATAAAATAAAAATATATTTTCGCCTCAAAAACATTCCTCCTACGAGGAAGTACACACTCAGATCGTACAGAATTATTGAATAACGGACGAGGTCCTCAATGCTAGATATTTTATTCTCGTCAGCGGAGAGTGGGCTCCAATTTGTCCGCAGTTTTTAATTAGTATGTGAGAGAAAACGAATTGTTGTGCTTGTAGAGCGGTTGTTTGTGAGTACGGGTACTCAATTGTTGAATAGCCTGTAACTTAATGGAATAGTTTTTTGAATCGTAGAATTATGGAAACTACGTAGCAGAATATTTTTATTGAATTGTAATTGGAAAGGCCAATTTGAAGTTTAGGTAAAAACTTTTATATACAAAAATAGTGCTTTATGTAATTTGGCTTAGAAATCACGTGACACGTTTTACACTTGCGGTGTTCTTGTCATTTTCACACGCTATTTCCTCCGTATCTATACCTTACTGGATTGTAGTAAAGTTGGTTTACCTTTGGTCCAACTTTGGGGACTTCTCTCGCTGACTCAGTGCTGAAAAGCACTTCAAACGTCGAGCTATATAAATATTTCCATAAATTGTTGTCGTGTTCTTATCCGTTAAAGAAAAGAAGATTTTTAAATGTCTTAACCAACTTTCCGTACTGATATTTCTCTGTATAACAGACGTCCCCGTGACCTGTTGGATTAGGGGTCACAAGCGACCCCATAGCCCGCGATGAGACGCGTCTTCCGCCCCAGGCTCTAATTAGCCTCACATTCTCATTCCGTTTTCGAGTTTAATTTCGCAGGCGGTTTCGCCTTAATTATATTATTCGTTCGCTGTTGTACTTAACTGAAGGAAAAACTACTGTCCGATTACGAGGATATACTTTTATTCAAGAAATCTACACTACTTTTTGTGGCTTAATAACAAAAACTGCCTATTAAATTAATTTAATACCCGGTTGTGTTCTGTGAAAATAGATAAATATATATATTTATATTGAATTGCATAAAAACGTAGGTAATAATATTTTTATTCAACCTATCTAAGTGCTTGTCTCCCTGATTTAATTATACCTATATACAGTAATAACTCTTTTATACAGCGATTTTTAAATATTATTTTAGAAAATGCAAAATATTTACATACATAAGAAGACCTAAAAAGTTAAATCAGCAAATAATTTTAACCTTAACAGGACCGTAACAAGATGACTTTCAAAACATTTAGGTGCAGTACACAGTAATTGAAAAAATCACTTAGGAGGGCTGTGAGGAGTGCCTTTGTCCGGTGGCTAATAAGATTTTTAAACGCCAACAAAGTATCCAATCAATGGGGCTTGAATAATGAAAATAGCACCTGCCCAGGTTCCCAGGCCACCCCCAGTCTAAACACGCATAGGAAAATCTACCAAACGATTCACGACTTAAGTAATAACATATTTAAACATTATTTTTCCTTGCACGTTTTAATGTAATTTGTACTCAATTATATCATTCGAAATTTGAATTTTGATAGATTTTTACCGTAGTTTAGTTGTTATGAGAAGTTTTATGGGGTTCGGAACATACTATGGTAGATCAAAGACGAAAGCAAGACCGGCCTGAAAGGCCGGCAACTTATCCACTAAAGTGGGTATACAATATACATGGGCCCTTTATGGGCATACATATGGATTTTTTGTCTTTGTTTTCGTTCCTGTACAATAATATACATGTCACTGTCACAACCAACCAATCTGGTGTACTAAATTTTATTGAAATAAACTCAGTATAAACAATGATTAAGTTATAGCGACCTCTTGCCTTTCAATTCTAGAAATGTTCAAATCACAATCTCCAAGACACTTGTAACCGAACATGTGTTCACAAAATTAACGAAACAGACATAAATCTGGTGTTTTCAGGGTTGTCACACATTTTTCTTGAAAATATATATGTAACAAATTTGTAGATTTCCTCAATATATATATAATTATAATTTTAAGAACATGTTCGTTACTGTTTGACCAGAGAGTTGTGACTGAGCTGAGCTGTAAACGGATAGAATTTAACACTACTAAATTGCCAATCGAATTTTATCACAGCTATCCGATACAGATGCGTGCCATATTTGAATTGAACTCGTTACTTTCAACATTCCTTTGAACATGTATTGGGATGAGTTGACGGGTTAACAAGTGGCAAGTGGCAACCCTGTGCGTATCCCGGGTGCGATTTAACGAAGTACGATAGGCGCACGCGACGCCTGCTCATTAGTACGCACGCAACTCGACCGTGCTGTACACGCCATCAATACCAGGCCCTTATAACCTTCATTAGACATACCCGACAACCAGTAATGACTTGCACCTCGCAACAGACATGTCTAGATCGCTCACGAACGCCTCGCCTTATTATTCCGCACACGTCAAACATAATCCACCTACAAGCTTATTACGACGGACAGAAATTAACCAAATTAGATTCAAAGCAAATCGCTTCAAAAGAAAGGGCTACTGAAATAATTGTCTACTTTACTCTCGGAGAAATAGAATTACAATCTAAATTAATTACGCTTTTAAAGCGTCCGTTATTCTTAATTAGTTTCTGCACCGCAGCGGAAGCTCCGCGCCCGCCTCGCGTTCTCTTAATGAAGGGTAGTTTCAAATCAGTGCGTTTGATCAACTCTGTGCAGTCTTAATTACGGCACCCGTTCTGCGCGGGACAATCCTGTTATTTATGACTACATAAGCTTGATTATTCTTTAATGAATACTTGTTTTAAAACGTTTAATTAAGTTTTATGGCGACGGGATGGCTCAGACGTCCCGCCGCTACGCCGGCCGCTGGCTAATTGGTTAGGGTTGACACCGCCCGAACCCCGCAAAGGACCGAACCCCGCTACGGTTCTAATTGTACGAAATTGTTAATTGGAAAATTTTATAAACGCGCCCGTCCGCGGACCATGGACGATGCCGCCCGGAAGGTCAAACAGAAATTAATTTTCGGCTGAAACGCTTCCAAAATAAAAAATATAATTAACTGAAATACATTTCTGTATTCAACTCTGCATTCGGACAATATTATTTAAAATTTATTTATTTATGGTCCAAAATCTTTTTTAACACTTATGACTTAATGAATTACAGATTTTCACTTTATTATAATAGGTTAATATATTGAGTTATCTCAATAAGTAATCTGGCAAATTTATCTATTAATATTACATTGTTACTGATTTGAATTATGTTGTTAACATCTAACCTAGATTTATTTGTGAACAGGGCGTGTAGTTGCGGTGGTACGTGCGAGCGGTCTCCGCTCCAACCGTCAAGCTGGCGAGCGCTCTGAGTATGAACCCGCACTACCACGGGTACGCGGAGCTCAGCTCGCCCCACCCCTCCTCACCGGAGGCGGCCTTCGCCAACGGGCACGACTACCCACACAATAACAATAACCCAGCACTCAAAGAATGCGCCGGATGCGGCGGAAAGATCGTAGAAAGATTCCTCCTCCACGCCCTTGACAGATATTGGCACCATGGCTGTCTGAAATGCACGTGTTGCGGTCAGGCACTTGCGGATATGGGCAGATCGTTCTACTTCAAAGGAGGGATGATATTATGTAAAAGCGACTATACAAGGTGAGTTTTATGAATGATTTCATTATAGTTACATTAGTTTAATAAAAGCATAATGCTGTGTCATCATTGATTCAGTGTACAAAAGGGAAAACTTAAGAAAATAATTGGCTTCTCAGTAAAGCTAGTTATCTGATTTCACAGAATAAATTGTTGCAGCACAGATTTAAAATTGCACTTCGCTAGTTTTGTATAACAGTATCTAATATATTTTATGTACTATTTAAAATCATTAAGTAATTGAAGTTATATAAGTTTAATCTTTTTTTTGAGTAAACATAGACATAACCATAACATTTATTACTAACGAAACGCACAAAATAATAATAATAAAAATTTAAAAAAAATTATGGAATGAAACAAAAGGAATAAGGTACACTAAGTGTGTAATGTGTGTGTGTGCATTGTGGTTATAACTGGCCCTGGCTCAGCATTATTCTGCCAAAGACCACAACAGTCAGTTCTCGCCTCAGAAGCAAAAAAAGAAAAAGAATGTAATAATAAAAATAGTAGAAAAAAATAATAGTAAACATTAACAGTGTTAGTAAAGAAGTCTTGGAAGATTTGTGTTTAATAGTTAATAAAAAATAAGAATAATTGAACATCAGTACACATTTCATACTTTGTCTAGGCGATTGAATCTATAAAAGTCTAGTTGTAAAAACGCACGACAATATTATTGCGTGTCTTCTCATTAAAACGCAGATCTAATGAGAACATAAATTTGTTCATATTACGCCATTAAGTTAATAAATTCTGTCCGAAGCCACTTTAAGTGATTAAGGAATTGCGTTCCTTTACCATGTTTGAAAAATGTTCATTAGTGGCAGTCTACTCCGGCATTCGATGTCTGATTCCCATCGATTGTCAATAACTTATGTTTTTAGTTCATCATCTAACGATGACAATAGCGTCTGTCAAACGTTTTGACCGAAAAAAGTATACCGAGAAAGCCGCGGGCGCATTGTTATGAAAATGCTTAGAGCCGTATACCTGCGTGTGTCACAAAAAGTACTTTGGGCCGATCGACGGAATCTCAAACTAAATTGGGAATTAAAAAACTCTAAGGGCTAATTTAGATCGACAAACGAAGTTTTTAGTTTATTTTCTCACTAATTAACTGCTGTTGTACCTCCCGCGACTGCTCTCATTTATAAATCACGTTACGTTAGTAATTTATAAACAGAAACAAAAGAAATACCATGTTTTAGTCACTTTTGACTTATACAGCGAAGAAGCATATTTAGATTGATGAGACCTGATATACAAGCGAGTCTTACTGTCAATTAATTAAATTCTCCTAAATTAAATTCAACCTGATTCTATTTACAATGTAAATAAATGTTTTAGTCCTTTTATCCTTTACAAGCATCCCATTTAAAACTTACCATTCTCTTGCAAAAATTGTAGGGAAACATTAATTAAAGAAGTTGTTTTCTGAACGTCAGACTGAAGATATTATGAGTTATAAAGTTTTAGAAGCACTCAACTTATTATTTTTAAACTGTGTTTATAATAATTGTACGGCTTACATTACGCGCGGTGTTAGTTGGCAAATAGCACGTGGACCGCAGCTGCCTTCAGGCGCCGCCCTGTTAATTAGTGGAACGCAAGGAATCCATCCCAATTAGCTAGTCCAACTATGTCTACCTTATTTCCCTTAATATAGGTACTAACGCACAGTGAGATTCCGCCAGTCTAATTTGGATTATTTGAGATGAAAATACAAATTCATTTTACACTGATTTCCCTTGTTTACCGGAGGTTGTGAACCTAACTAGGAGAGAAGAGTGGGCCAACCGCGAGGCTCGTGCGTCGTAGATTCGATAAAGCTCGTCTCTCAGTTGACAGAGACGCGGCCTAACGAGTGGGGGTGAGGGGTGCGGGAGCGAAAGGGGATGAAGAAGTGCGGTTCCGTGCATGTCTCTGCTGATTGACCCGCGTCACTCGGCAAACAACAACTAACGAGTCGACCCCCGCGCCTCCAGGTACGGTGATTCGCTTGAATCGCTCCCGCGGCGACCGCTCGACTTTACGTACACGTCTTCCCTGATTGAGACTCCTTAACGAAATTAACGTTCTCTCACGCAAACAGCCACAACCCCCTTTTGTCCCGATATGATGGATTGCGGCTCCTAAAAGACGTGTTACTGATTACTGTACACACAAAATTACGCGATGTACTAACAGTGTTATAAATAATTCGATGCTGCTCAAAATAAACATTTGTAGATGGATTAACTTAATTCATAGCAATGAGAAAACTCTGCGCTTCGGGACTTTAAATATTCAACGACATGTTCAGTCTACTTAGTCTTTAATATCGACATTTAACTTTAGATGTGTGTATTACTATAGGTTATTAGATAACTAGTGAAAAAGATGAAAATTCACCTACATCTAAAGATCGAGACGGTGAAGCACGTCCAGGCTCTTGAAGCAGGTTCGTTAAGCTCCGTCAATCAAGGCAATTGCTGCTCAATCGGCAATCAGGCCCGCCGCTAACGAGCCGCCTCTAAAACCAACTTCTTACTCCCTCACACTTTTGCATTGTTAACTCTCGCGCTCGCCACATTTGCAACTTATAGTCCAACTTCTTGAATATCATTTCTGATTATAATAATATTGAAGTCTCTCAAATTTAGTTGTATCGTATTTGGGGTCGTTCAAGTATTACGATTAGATTTACTGCAATTTATCCCCCCTTCTTGTCAAAAGTAAGCAAAGCTCTCTAAAATAATATAGTGCTTACGTAATACTTAAACGGCCCCTTTGTATAGGATTCCCGTATCCTGGAGATATTTTATTATTGATGGACATAAAAAGCCTTAAAAGAATGCTATCGACTCAATTATCGCCATAAATATATCAAATGTGACATTCACGAGCCAATCAGGGAGGTCTTATCATCAGATAATCCACATACAGGCTATTAAATGTGCTATCAATCATTAATAAATAATTACATCAGTGATATTATCGTGCTAAATATTTATTGCATTTTATTAAGCTCTTGTCCGAGCTTCCAATTTTGGTCGCTCGTTAACGCAAAAGACGCACGGTTTAATTGCAACCGCCCGCCTCTAATGAGGCACTATGTCCCAGAACGTTTCTCTTGTGCAAATTGACATTGTACGTAAATTGATGTCGACAAACTCTCATCAAGATGCCTAAGGTTTATATTTTGCGGACAATTTATATTTTACTAAAAATGTATAGTTATATGATAATTTTATTCCAATTTTTATCTCAAAACCGCGTCTTCAGTTCATATAGAAAACTTTTAGCGTTTTCTGCCAATCTCTCCTCATAAAAATGCATCTATAATTTGAAACTTTTTAGGTTTAAAAACTGGTCTCGGGATATATTAGTAATCTGTAGATGTCACTACTTTGTTTCATTGCGAGTCAAAAAGATCATTTTGTATATAACAAGTATCTATATTACTATGTCCATTTAACCACCTACAGTGTGCAATTCAACCAGACAAAGTCACGTTTGACATCAGTATCCACAAAATCCATGTGCAAGTTTTGATAAAGTTTCTTGTGTTCGGTTTATTGAAGTAAAAGGCGTGTGCCGGACTAACGAAGATTGGATTACGCCGACATGACCCCAATTAATTTCGTTTGTCTCTTTGTACCGTCACAAAGACTAAACATGGACGTTAGTCCACGATCTGTGTGTGTAATTTGATTATCGATGACCACTTGTAAAGGCTGTCTATTTCGTCTTTGATCAAAGTTATACGCGGTGATATAATAACAGCTCTGGTTTAGATTTGCAACGTTGTGTTGCAACAGTAATTTGTTGCTGTTCAAAACCAAGGTTTTTCTCAAACATTTGATATATAATCTATATATATAAAAGAAAAATGGTCTTCGTTTGAGGCTCCTTCACGCCTAAACCACTGATCGTATCGACATGAAACTACCACCATTCCTAGATGGTTTATGGCTATTTATTTATTAAATTCCAACGTTCCTTCATTTTTTTATTGCTGTTTTACTTTTATGAAAATTTATCCATACGGACTTCACCGCGGAAACATTCGGGGAGGCTTCCTAGAACCTCTAAACGTCAACATCTGTTAAAAACTCGATTTTCGAAATATTTCAATTTTCTTATATTAGCGGGAAGTTAAAAAGAAGAATAATAAAAATATGAAAAAAAATAAAATAATGAAACATAAAATTTATTTTAATTCGTCCAGCAAAGCGGGCGCGAAACGGCTAGTATGATATATAATTAATAAATACAATTATAGCAAATATCATAAATATGTTGAGACAGTTTTTTTTACAGAGTAATATAATAGAATCATAATATTTTACATTAGAAAACCGCCGTGGTTTGTATAAATGTAAATTCGTTTACTATATTCCTTACCTACATAGTAACCAAAGTAACCAGTGACGCTACAACCTTTTTAGGCCAGTCAGATTTCTGTACCTGTTTCATGATCATTTGTCAAACCAATAAAGTATATGATCCTCCTGTGCCTGACGCACCTTCGCTGTTCGAGCGAATCTTAAGTGCGCACATAGACAGAAAGTCCATTGGTGCAGAGTCGAATCGAACCTACAACCTCAGAGATTAGAGTCGTACGATAAAGCCTCTAGGCCAACACTGCTCGTACATAGTAATAATAATAATAATTATAAATCGATAAATAGAAAACTAAAACAAAATTTAATAATTAGGTCAAATGTAATTTATACTGTATATTTCTGTGTTGGAAGAAGTTAATATTCAATAAGAAATGTAAATTTTGTAAATATATAAAAGTATGAGGAATCATAAAATGGTATTAATACTCTTTTTACTAAGTCTTAAAATACAGGTTAATTAAAAAAATAATTAAGCCTATCGTGTACTGGCGTTAATTAAGTTTTCCTTTGACCTAAGCTAGCTTGTTGACCTCGCAATATCATAATTCATAACTTCCGCCACACAGGAAATATCATTATTTCAATTATCATTTTAAAATATCATTGCAATGTAGCG